AAAAAAAAAAAAAAAAAAAAAAAAAAAAAAAAAAAAAAAAAAAAAAAAAAAAAAAAAAAAAAAAAAAAAAAAAAAAACACCACAACCAAAAACCTGGTTTTCAGGATAAAGTGCTCAAAAAAAATAATATAATATAAAGCCAGTAATTGTCAATGCCAGAATGGAATTGGAACATAGAATAACACTGGGTATAGTATTTTTTAATCATCATCTCTTCTTTTTGTAGGTTGTACTTGCAGAAAGTAAATAACAGCTCCAATAACATCCACATTTCACATCTTGAAAAACCAGGCTGGAAATGTAAAATTTAGGCATATAAAAATCTGAAATCTATAAAAATAACCACTTTGATGATCGTTATCCCTTTAAATTAGAAATGGGCTGAGGAGACCACGGCTCAATTTGGGGTTTGTAAAACCTAAACTAGGTACACTTTCACTTCATGTTCCTTTTTGTTCAAGCCACTAAAGCTTGGAGGTGCAGACCAGGGTTTCAGGTCCTCCCTTTTTTAAAAAGCAGCTGGAAATGTTCACATAATTTTGTATAAAAGCAAAGGCTGTGGGACACAATAAACCAGTCTCGGTCTATTTAAAAATTAATACAGTAATTATGGGATTTTTTATTTTGCTCATCCTTCAATCATCTCTCCAGGAAGTTGCCTATTATATCAGAAGAAACAAGCTGTGTCAGAAGCAGAGGACAAGACAGGGGATGGAATGAGAAAGAAGAAGTGGAAGTAACATAAGACACCTAAATATTGTTTCTTCTTTTTCTTTCGTGCAGCAGTATTTAAAAATGTAGGAATTATCTGTAAGTCTATCCATCACAGTCTTCACCCATTAGGGAGTAAAAAAATAAATCAAACAGCAGGCATTCTGTCAATGTACAGATCTGTGTGCTAGTGGAAGGGGAAAGGTTTTACACTGTCATTGATTTCAGTGAGATTCAAGGGTATTCTCTGTGTGATACCTGGGAACAAGCTGGCACTAAGTGTCCATCTGCTGGAGTCTTGCAGCTGAGGGGAGCCAGGAAAAGTGTAAAAGTACAGTAAAAACAAACCTCTCATTTTCTTTCCCCTTCTTGCACAGTAAGGTGTGTCATTTAATGATAATAGGATATTCCAAAATTTACTACACTCCCAAAGTTTTCCTCATCCCTGGAGTAGTCTTTCCTCAGGAGTACGGGATAGTTCTTATTTGGGATATGGTGAAAGATCAGTACTCCTTCAGAAGGGAAAACTATAACGAAGGAGCAGGCAGCCTTCTCATGAAAATCTTAGCTATCAGTCTCACTTGCATGTTGTGTGTCCTTTGCTTCATGGCTCTTATAAACACTATTGTACAAAGAAATCGTTACAGAAAGACCATATATCAAGAGACAGAAGCCTCTTCTGTAGTGTTTTAACTTGCTTTTAAGTCAGACCCTTCCCCATTCCCAAGGAATAAAATTCAAATCTACAGCAGAGTAATCATAAAATGAAGCATAGACCAGTACTAGAGATGGAACAGACAGCAACAACCCCTGCCCTTTATTGCTTTTTAATTACCTCTCTCTCAAATTTCTGGAACTTCTCCTGAAACGCTTTAGAATCTTCTGTGGAGCTTTGCAGTTTTTTCACGCTACTCATTAGAGCCTCGTCAAGGATTTTTTCAGCCTGCAAGTTAAAATATATTATTATTTTTGGGGTACAAATAAAACTCTGTGAAGACATCAGTGAAAATATAGAATAATACTGTACCTGAGATCTGTATACTGCTCCTAAAATACCTCCTGTGACCTGAAGAATCAGGATCAGAAGCAGTCCAATAAAAAACTAGGAAAAAACAAAAGGGGGAGGAAACTATAATACTTTCAACCAAGATGACATAATTTCTTCTAAACTACCATTAGTCTTTCATGTGCTTGAATAACCATGTAGGTAGAATGCAGTTCCAGTCGGAGCTGCTCCAGTTATTTCTTCTTCGGCGATAAGAAAATGAGGTGCTCGAGACAGAGTGTGCTCAGCTGGTGATCAAAACAGGGTGCATACCAGAGAGGTGCCAAGATGGACAGTGTGTATGTGAAAGTTATCAGGTCAGGAGAACACAGGAGGACATTCTAGGTGGACCAGCAAAGGGAGCAACTGGGAATTTATGAAATTAAATGGGATAGGTAATGGGGGAGGATTAATGGAGGGAACTTGGGGGATGGATGGATGGATGGCTGGATGGCTGGATGGATGGCTGGATGGATGGATGGCTGGATGGATGGATGGATGGCTGGCTGGATGGATGGATGGATGGATGGATGGATGGAAAAAAAGCTCAAGTCTCTCTGGAGCCTGTCGTCTTTTGATGAGACCACCCATCATTTTTACCACGCTAGAATTCAGAAGGAGCTCAAGCTCAAGGTAAGCAATGATAACACATGATCATAACAATGCTTTTGGTTAAACTAAAAGACTCCCATCCTCATTTGATACTACTTGCAAGAACTATATCCATCAAATGTAGCTGTGACCTGTTGAAGGAAGACAAATGTTTTTCTTTCCTACCAAAAGCAGCATGCACCGGCTCTCCTTCACAGCACCACAGCACCCCAGAAACCCAAGGATCATAATGATGGAGCCCACGGCTATCAGCAGATCAACCCCTGCAAACAGGCTGCTGTCTATCTCCAGCTCCTGAAATGAGAGGAAAAAAAATGTTTCAGTTACAAGAAAAGGTCCTCCTAAAAACATCTGTATCCCCCAAAACAAGATAATCATTTTATAACTGATAAGTAAACAGTTTGGCAACCACAGAGAAGTTCATAAATAAACAAAGCTCTAATGCTACCTTCTTAGACGTTTTATTGGGGAGCTCAGTAGAACCTGACTTTTCACAACCTTTGTTTCTGCTCAAGATGAAAGTCAACTTCACAGAGTAAATAAATATGTCTTGTCTTTAAAGTGGTTTTCCGTTGGCTTTCAGTTGATGAATCTTTGCTTTTTACTGGAAGTAGCAGACTTGATTATCTCAAATCCTCTCCTACATTAACCAAATGTTAAAGAAACAAAACCTCTGTTTGTCATTAGAATGCCAGGAACATACTCTGTGACCATTCCTGAGGGAACATTTCTCAGAGCAATGCTGGATACATTAGAGAAATAAGTGTATTTTCCAAAGGAGCTTTTCTTTTTCCTTTTTTCCTCAGGCATGATCTCTAATATCACCCTCATAGATGAGGACTTTATTTTGATGTGTGGGACATTCACTAAACAATTCATATACCTCAATATTATAAAATATCAAATTATTCCGTTCCCACAGGACTGACTAAGGCCAAAGGCCAAAATAGAGGAAAACGTTCAAAGAATATTTTCCAGTGTGACTGGTGCCAAGATTAGCAAAAATGTCTGGAAGTTGTCACATTTATCTTTTGATAATTGCAAAGGTATATAGACAAGTATAATTTGAAGAATCTGTTGTTCTTTCCCCTTCCAAGTTGGACTGAACCTCCTGTTATTTATTCTTAGAAAGCTCTATTCATCTACAGCCAAATCCTTATGCTCTGCTCAATTATTACTCAGGAGAAATATACATTGGTTTTGAATGGGAACTTTGCCTGCCTGGAAGCAAAAATGTGAGAAAATTCTTTCAATTTTGGTCTGTACTTTTAATTCACAGGTTTTTGGGGAGTACTAAGTGTCACTTCAGGAAAGCATTTTGTCACACATTTAAGTATGCTTTTCTGAATAGGAAATCTCTCAAAAAATAAGAAAAGATAATAGTGGTTGTGGTTTTCCAAGCTCCATTTTACCATCTGAGGCATCATATTAGAGACTGTCAACTACCAAGTATGGCAACTTTAGCTTCTAGAAAAATACTGATTGAGGAATGAAAGTTGTCACTCTTCCTTCTCCACAGGACAGAATGGCAGAGCTCTCCACCATGACTTAATTTACCCAATGACACAATGTCATCATGAACCAAGTTCTCTTGCATCCATCCTCTACCAGTCATGAGACATCTGGGACTGGCTAAAGGTAACAGTCAGCCAAATGGCAAGAGATGTATAAAGCTATTTTCTTATCTCCACCATCTTTTTATTACCAGATGGGAAAATACTGACTTAAAAACTATTATTCTTAACTGATGGCCTGTGCTAGAGCAGCAGGGCAGTGATCTGAAGAATTGCAACTTAATCTATACTAAAGCCTCAAACTGAAAGCTGAAAGCAATGTTTCCATCTCACATCGGGCCACTTTTTCACTTTTATGGCCAGAAAGCCTTTTTGAAAATAGAAGAATAAAAGTTAAATTTTCCAATTAAGTTGTATTTCTATGCTCTGAATTCACATGAAGAAATATACTGCTTAAACCTTAGAGTAAGTGGCACTGGGTGCACACTGGGAAAAAAAAAGGGTCCCCAGGAGCAAAGGGCCTTTGCACCAACAGGGCCAACCTCTGCTGCATGTCTGCAATACCAAGGGCTCCTCAAAAATCGTATTTTCCCTAGTTTTGAAGAAAAGGAAGTCATAAAGTCTGAAGTAATTTAATAACCCCTATAAAAAAATTTCAGGTGGGGAACTCAGGGACTTTTCTCCCCTCTAGGAGGGCTGTCAGGACATTTTAATGTGTCCAGTTCTGCGCCCCTCAGTTTGGGAAGGATATTGAGGTGCTGGAGCAGTTTCAGAGAGGAGTAACAAGGCTGGTGAAGGGTCTTAAACACAAGCCTATAAGGAGAAGCTGAGGAAGCTGGGGTTGCTCAGCCTGGAGATGAGGAGGCTCAGAAGTGACCTCATCACTCTCTGTAACTCCCGGAAAGGAGTTTGTAGCCAGGCAGGCATCGGTCTTCTCTCCCCGTCAATCAGCAGTAGGACAAAGTAGCTGTGCCAGGGGAGGTTTAGGTTGGATATTAGGAAGAAATTCTTTACAGAGAGGATAATCAGGCATTGGAATTGGCTGCCCAGGGAAGTGGTGGATTCTCTGTCCTTGGAGGTTTTTAAGATGAGACTGGATGTGGCACTGAGTGCTATGGTCTTGTAACCACGGTGATAGTGAATCAAGGGTTGGACTTCATGATCTGAGAGGTTCTTTCCAACCCGCCTGATTCTATAATTCTATGAATTCTAAGTAAAGATTTTTTGGTAACTAAAATTCTTTCTATATAAATATGGGAGAAGAAAGATGAGGTGTTTTTAAGGAGCTGTTGAAAATAGAAGAGAAAAATCCTTGCTCCCTTTCAAAGTTGCAGTTACTAAGGAAATAAGAATTGTGTTATTGAAAGGTAAAAATATCCCCCACAAATATATGAAGAAACCCTAGGAATATATATGACTATATATTCTAATAGGGAAAAACATTGAAAATCTATGAGCTGCATAGCTCCTCATTATTCTAACACTGAAATCAATAACATCATTAGTTTCCATTACAGGAGAGAGAGACTCATGTTTTCAAACAGAAATCTGTGTGCATCTGCATGAAACTATATTAATAACACTAGCAGACACTTCTTGTAGTCACATATCTCTGTTTGCAGCAATCACTTTATCTGACTACCTGCATCATGTTGTTTAATCTTAATGTCATAAAATGCATTAATCTTTACCCACACAAACCACTTCAACAAAAACATAGACAATTTTTGGAAATGAAGATGGTAGATTAAAGTGTATGTAGTAGCTTCCACATTTTACATGGTGCTGGTATGACTGCATGCATTTACCTGCTGAGCATCTTTACTAACACGTATCCATATGGAGACTCCCAAAATAATGGAACCACACAACTGCAGGAGAAAACAAAGACAAGTTAGAAAAGTCAGCAATTTTTGACTAACTTTCAATATCCAAATTGCACCAGATGCTGTCCAAACTTCTGAAATCATTTGTTTGGCAAAGTGAAAGAAGCATGAATTGCTGGAGCATAGAATATTGATTCATATCCAGGAAAATTTGGATCTTCAGGTATGCACCAAATCCCTGATGTTTCTGCCTCAGAAGACTACACATTTCCTTG